GAAACCACAATCTTACCCTCATCCATATAGTAGAGGATTCACATCCCATATGTGTTCAGCTCTACGCCAGGGTCAATACTTTGAGCTGCTCCACAACATTTTCAAAAGACCATTCAACGTTGGCCACACCATCTTTAATGGCCAACTGAAGGCGAGCAACCAACTCTGCACGAGTTTTCAAACCCCTGACCTCCTTTGTCTCGTCCCCACCAGGAGCTACCTCAGCCCTCAAGGATGTAACCATCTCCTCGAGCGACTTCTTCTCCTGCAGAAGTGTCTTGCGCTCCTCGATCAGCTTGGCCAGTTTCTCTATTGATGCCTTGTTTGCAACATCCGCATTGAAAAACTTATCCTTGAGATTCGTTACTTAGCCCGGAATTTTTTCATACCCACTACCCTCATAACAGTGTCGGCATCCCCAGCCAACATCGCTCTCTTGCTCGGACGATCTATCTCTTCAAGCATAAGGGACTCGGCCCGATGAAATTGCAAGGCGGAACTTTCGAAGAAAGCCTTATCATGAAAACTAGGGGGCAACTCAAACTCCCCCTTATCCTATTCACCAGTAAAATCGACAGTATCCTTGGTATACGACCTCTTGAACCTCGAAGACACCTACTGAGGGTAGAGATGCCCAACAGCCTAGCTAGTCGACCATGTTCCAGAGTCCGATTAGGGAGCCTTCCCCGCATCAACTTGAGAACCCTTAAGATATTTATGCCCCTTCTTCGCCTTATGAAGTAACGATCTGGCCATATGGTCCTGAGCAGGATTCATTCTTCATGCACAAATTTTTTTTGGGGTCAGCAAACAAAAATAAAGAATCTCGCATACAAATCAAGTCGAAATAAAATATAAACTACCTAAATACACCACATGATCCTCGCTCTTGAGGAGCTCCTTAACATTTATAAGACCAGGTTCAAAAATCAAATTTTCATCCTCATCAGCTAACAACCTTTTCCCTTTGGCCATACATTGGACTGGGGGGATCCCCACAACGAAGGCCGACAAACGATCATGGCTAGCCTGGTCCTCGACACCCAGTTGACCCTTCTTCTAGATATAATGGTCGGTCCTCTGGGTATAATGTTTCCTCGAACAATGAAAATGAAACTTCAACACCAGCTTCGCCACCGGGTCCCCTACCTTGTTCAGCACGGGTCCCCCGGCCTCGCCGACCAGTGGGACGCTCCTGAAAATGTTCAGCAACGCCTTCCCCGGTATGGGCTGGATTAACATATACCTCCTCTTAAAATCTCAGAACAACTCAAGATAGGCTTTGAACAGCTTACCGTTTGCCTGCTTGAGAGAGACCCATCTGAACCGAGTGCCAGAAGTGCCCCGCTGAAGATGGAAGCAGTAGAAGAACAAATAAATAGTGTCCCCTATCGACAGATAGTCGCACATAATCTCAAATGCCTGCAGGAACGAAATCGAGTTGGGATGTAGCTGCGACGGAGCAAGGCGAAGGTGCCGAAAAATGGACATTTATAGATCAGTAAAAGGAAGTCGGAAACCAATCTCTCGAAAGGGAATATCATACATAGGAGTATGGTTCACCTTGAACTTTGAAAAGATTCAGTGGCTCTTCTCGGGGATATATATCGACCATTCTTCCTCGACACCATCCAACTCCATCCTCGAAGCCACCGAAGTGAACACTTCATCCAAATGCTCACAAAAGTAGGAGACATGTTCCAAGGGACCTAGCGCAACCCAATCTAAAGGATCTGCTGGAACCGCATGCGTATCCTAAACCACTGGCACATTTTGCTCGGCCTCGCCCAGTTTTGGTACGATCGGTTCAGGATCGGGCATTCCCAAGGTGCTCCCCTATGTCGATGAGTACTCAGATAAGCTTATCAAGGAATCATTGGGTTCGCCCATGGACTCATCATCAATACTGCTGGCCATTATACCTGAAAAACAGAGGACAAAAGTGAATTTGACATCAAAATCAAATCCATCCTTCCACCGCTAGTCAAGTGAAAGGGCACAAAGGAACAAGGACCGTGTCCCCGACCAGAGCCCTCACTTAAATGACAATAGATAAACTCTATCACAGGCGCATTTTCACCAAGCTAGAGCGTAAACCACACGGGAACCTATCTTCCCAACACTTCTAGGTCTCTACTATGGTGATTCTTTGTTCCTTGTAAAAATCATAAACCCATGAACAGCCCCAACGCCACCGGAAAGTTCATTTTGAACCTCTATTCTTAACTCTATGTCTAAAACATCTCTAACAAGCTCACAAAGGAGCCATCGTCCTCAAGCGACAAAACCACCGTCAGACAACGACCAAACACCTAAAATTCTTACACTAAGCTACTCTAAACCCTAGCCACATGCATTTATAGGAAAATAAGAAGAAAATATATCCTAGAACAGAGGCAAAATCCATTAAAACAAGGAAAAATTGAGAGGCTTACCAAATTATTGACGATTATCGGCGGCGAGTGGCAGAACAAGCGAGAGATTCAGAGAGCAACGATGTCTGGAAGAAGTAAACGACAACGAGCAGAAGGAGAGCAAGTGAAAAATACAAAGGAAGCTCCCTCTCTCCCTTTTATAGATAGACTTCGCTAGCGTATGAGCAGGCACACGCCTAGGGAAACGTAAGGGTCATCATCATTATGCCCTAGTCCTTAGGCTTGCCATCATTACAACTTTATGACAATATGTGGCTCGATACAAGGGCAACACATTATCTCCTCTAGATCTAATCAACTATTCTTCTCCTCACAAGCCAGGCACGCCAAGCATCGCTCGAACTGCTCGCGCATAGCTGCCCACGAAACATCCCACTCTTTTGGGCACACCTTAAGTCATTACTCCTCTGACTAGAAGAAACGACTTGAGGGGCTCCTGTTCGGGATTGGCCCAATGACTAGAATTGGCCCAATCTACTTTAACCTTTGGCACAACCCAATAACGCTGGCCTAACATCCTTGGTCGACCACGCCCTTGAATGACACGACCAATAATGCCCGAAACGCACGCCTGCCCGTGCAGGCTGTTACCTCTCAGTCTGCTCGACGCACAAAGAGAAGACGCCAATGAAATGCTCATAAACACTTATGCTTGTTATCTCATCCTTGCTCGACGCAACAGCTAGCTACGGGCACAACTGTCCGTTTTGACCAAGTCTTGGTAGTTACCTATTTTTGCGGACCCGTATATCTGGCCTAAAAATAGGGACCAATGGCTATGCGTCAGGGCATTATATAAACCCTTACACTTGCGAGGGCCATGTATCCAATATTCATTGATAAAACCCTAATATCTTTCTTATATCTCTTTACACTCTTTCTTACTAGATCGTCAGAGTGCCTTACAGGTACCCCCCCCCCCCCCCCTCTCCATAAATTTCTAGCCAAACAGATGTCATAAACTCGACTCACTTTCAGGTTCTGACCAACCGATAAGATGAACATGTATGCTACCAACTCTGATTGAGAACCTTTCTCCAGAGTTTATTCTATAATAAATACTTATTATTCAATAATATATCCTATTGATACTGGTTTGTATCACAAATATAATTATAAATTATATAATCATTAACATGGTACGAAACTTGAAGAAGAAGAAGAATAATGACAAAGAAAAATAGTTAACTAGAACCTGAATGGGGAAACTTGTTACAGACAAAGTACATGCTCTGAAGAGACTTTTTTTTGTAGAAATTGAAAGTGTATGAAATAGTAATCTAAAGCTTATGGAGAACTTTAGAGAACGTAAGGTATGTAATTCTGATGCTTACAAGGCCTCTTATAGGCTTTGAACTATTAATCATGACATATTCACAATTACGAGCTTTTAACATACACCGAAACAACTGAGTAATTGAGGAGTAAGAGAAAAATTTGTCAGAGAAACATAATCATAAGCTGTGTTGGGGCCATTAAAATCGTAGTGGCCATTACGAATGATCGTAATGTCGTCAGGCTTGTGATGTAAAAGTCAATTTTAGAAAGGGTGCGCCTGAGACCATTACGGCCGTAGTGCCATTAGGGCTGGGCCAAAACGGTCCCTAATCTTTGTTATTTGTGTTGCTTCCTTATGCAGTCTTCGCGCAGTTTTATTTGGTTCAACTCTTATTCACTCGATCACATTCAAAACTTATGAAAAGCAAAGAAAACACGAAAACATAAGTGAAATAGAACATAAACGCATCAAAAGTACTAAATAAACACCAAATTCAAATGCTTAGAAACAATAGAAATGCAATTTATTAATGACAGTTAGAATTGACTCGAGTGATCCGAATTGGATAACAAAGAGTTGTTGGATGTATCTCAATGATGATGATGAGAGCGGCAGCGGCGTGCTCTAGTGTGTTGCTCTATAATGAAGGTACACGTGTTCTTTAGTCAATGAAGTGCTTTGTCTGAATTGGATCATGTAATTTGGTCGATCTTATTGGGCCTTTAGCCCGCCCAAACAAATATATTCAACGAGATTGCAATAAAGTTGGAATCAAGCCAACATGCAAATAGACGACGAGTTTTCAATTCAACCGATTGAAGAAACTGATTCAGCTTGGTTTAAAGCATTGCTAAAATGTATTGGTCTTAACCATAATAATAAGTTGCTTTTTAGAAAACAAAATTTGGAGTGTTACATCCCTATGTGAAAAAACTAATGCGGTGTACTTTCTCTCACAATGACATGCAAGAGACAATTCCGAAACAGGCTTCATAATAAATTTGATTTATCGCATATGTTTGAGTTGGTCGTTTTCTATGTATACCAATTAATTTCTAATCAGTACGTCGCATTAGAACTTTTGAAATTTAGCATGAAAACTCTTTCTTTTACATGGCCAAAACATATTTCTTTTGTACTCGCAAGATACTTCTAGGTAGTTGCTCCTGTAAGACAACTATTTTCTTGAATAAGCTGATCCAAGATATGTTTAATGCTTGATATATACTACACACTAATAGCACCTTTATGGTTAGTACTAATAATTACTCTAGTTAAAATTCAAGTTAGAACCCACAATAATACAACCACTGCATCCCTTTATCTATAGTCAGTATTATTGCTTTTATCTCTTCAATATTCATGTGTGATTGATCCCCTGCAAGAAACAGATGAACCTTATCTTTAATACTAATCCAACTACAACCTGGACTTTTTTTTATTCTTTTTAAATCCTTGCTCTTTCTTACTAACTCACCCTCAATCTTTTGTCCAGAAGCAGAATACATGTTAGATAATACCACGTAAGGTGTCGCATTAGCAGGCTCCAGCTTGGTAATATGTTGAGCAGCAAGCTTAGCAAGGTCAAGACGTAGGTGAGCGTTGCTTGCAGCAAGAAGAGCCCCCCAAACACCAGAATGAGGCTTTAACGGCATTGAACGGATTAAATCAATAGCTTCGTCAAGCAAACCAGCACGGCCGAGTAGATCAACCATGCAAGCGTAATGATCAGCTTCTGGCTCAATTCGGTAACGAGATTTCATGGTGTTAAATAAATTCCGTCCCTCTTCAATCAGTCCTGCATGAGTACATGCTGAAAGAACCGCAAGGAAAGTAACACGGTTGGGTTCAAGGCCTTTACTCTGCATTCTTTTATACATATTGAGAGCTTCTTCGCCAAACCCATTTTGTGCAAAGCCATTGATGAGTGAATTATAAGAGACAACATTTGGTTCATCGACGTCTATGAAGATCTTGTAGGCATCGGTTATGTTTCCACACTTGGCATAGAATGATATAAGAGAATTTTGTATCGAAAGGTCGTGTTCCAGGTTCATCTTTAGAACATGGGAATGAATCTGAAGCCCTTCATTCAGTGCCACCAAAGCAGCCGAAGAAGCAAAAACACTACTAATAGTAACAGGATTTGGCCTGCATCCTTCCTGATTCATCTGAACATACCAACGCAAAGCCTCCTCGTACTCCTCATTACTCACAAAAACAGATATAATAACTGTCCATACAAAATCATCTTTCTCTTTCAACATATTAAACAGTTCAACGGCCTTCCCAATTCTTCCACCCTTTGCAAACCCCCTGATCATAGCTGTCCAAGAAATCAAATCTTTCTCTGGCATCCTCTCAAAAACCTCATAAGCTGCATCCACTTCATTGTTATAAACATATCCAGAAATCAAAGAATTCCATGCAACTAAGTCTTTATTGGCAATAACACAAAACACTTTCTTTGACATGTCAGTGCAACCAAACAAGGAATACATAGTAATAATAGAATTACTCAAAACACTATTAAACTCAAATCCCAACCTTGAAACCAACCCATGAATCTGCATTCCCTCTTTCACCCTGCCACAATTTCCACACCCTTTAATCATAATAGTCATCGTAGTTGAATTAACCTCCACAACACCTTCCTTTCTCATATCCAAAAACAAACAAAACCCATTTTCAAACAAACCTTTCTCCATATACCCATCAATCATTGCACTCCAAGAAACCACATTTCTCTCTGGCATTCTATCAAACAATATCCTAGCATAACCAACATTCCCATCTCTACACAAACCACCAACCACGGCACTCCAAGAAACGACATCCCTCTCACTCTCCCTCACATTCTCAAAAACCCTCAAAGCTCCATTTGTTTCACCCATTTTCAAATACCCATTTATCAAAGCATTGGAACAAACCGGGTCACGAAACTCAAGTGGAGCTTCAAGGTAGAGTTTTTCAGCCAAATTGAACTTCCTTGCCTTAACAAAACCCGTTATCATGGCAGCATATGACACCGCATTTCGGTCGCGAAGCATGGCGAAAATCTCATAAGCTTTGGTGACATTACAACCATTACGAATGTAAGCAGAGACCATGGCGTTGTAAGAAGCTGTTGTTCGTTGAGGCATTTCGTCGAACAGTTTGCGGGCGTTTGCAATTTGACCGTTTTGCTCATAAACTGTGAGCATGGCTGTCCAAGTGACCGTGTTTTTATGGGACATTCTGTGGAATATTGTTTCTGCTGCTTTAACGTTGCCGTTTCGACCATTTTTGGAAATCTCGATGTTACACTGTGTGAGAAAGTTGGTAGGTTTTGCAGGGTTGGTTTGTTTTAGAGTAAGGTTAGTAGTGGTTTGTGTGAGGTTTGATTTGGCATTGGTAATTCGTTGGTGGATGTTTTTGGCGTATTGTTTCATGCTTTTATGAACTTAGAAGTGATCTTCCATTGGCGCTGTCCGTTCCTTCCCAGAAAATCTTTTTGCTAGCATAGTATCTCAAAATTACTTTCAAAATGTTCATAACCTTTTCAATTCTTTTTTATCACCGTAACCTTTTCAATTTAGTTCATGTATGTATATGTTTTTTTTTTAAAGAGGGCTAATAACAATTTCGTCCTTTGGGTGATATTTAAAAAAGTTCTCATAATAAAAATTAGATTTTCATTCCGTCATTTAAATTTTTTACTGTTTTGATCATTCATTAAACCATTAAACCAATCCATCTAAAAAACTTGTATGTTATTAACTGATTTTTTTTTTTAAATTAAAATATATGATTATTTTCAAGTGTCACTTGTTCTTTTAATTAAAATATTTTTTTATAGATCATCTTCTTTCTTCATCTTCTTCTTCTTCTTTCCTCTTGTTCTCTGCGTTCTTCCTTCAACTCAACAAGTTTAAATTTTTCATTTTTCTTTTACCTTTTCTCCGTGATAAATTTACCAAAAAGTCCTCATCTTGTCGAAAAATGACAAGTCCTCATCAATCTACATAGTCGCCACCAACCAGTATCCACCACCATAAACCACCGATCGCCGATCTCGGAATCCACCATGATTGTTCGAACATACAATCGATGCAAAAGATCAATTTCTAAAACGTGCTCTGGTTCTTCCCTAAACGACGACGTATCAGAGCCCTTCTCAACAAACGCTCTTACCCTAGAACAAGACACTCACTTCGGCGGCTTCATATTATCTTCCTAAGATTCTTCCTCTTGGTGGTCTTTATTCGATTTCGACCTCAATTTGATCGACGATTTGTACGGAGCAGATCGCCGGGAGTCAAAGAGGGCAAATGGAGTATCTTTTCCGGCAACGTCGACGCTGATGGAGGCGCAAGGGTTTAGGGAGATGATGGAGCATGTGGGTGAGGTTAATTTTGCTCTTAATAGACTCCGTAAAGTTCAACCTATGTTGATCAGAAGATCTAGTTTGGTTTCTCTTTTTTCAATTTGTCCCACCACGCAGCAGCGAAGACTTCTTCGCTCTCAAGGGTATGTTAATTTCTTGCGAAATTTCTCAGTTTCTTTTGAATTTAAAAAATCTATGTCTAACGTAAAATGGGTTTATCATAATTTCTTCTTTTATGTTCTTTTTGGTTAATTATAGTGTTCTTTTTATTGGGTTTTTAAGGTTGTTCCACACAGTTGTTGGCTTGAACCTTGACGCTGCTTGCTTGAACCTTAACACTATTAACTTTGCACTCTCAATCTAGTTTGCTTCCAACCCTGCCACCCTCTAGGAGTGATTACACATCTATTGATGCAGTGATAATACTATGAAGTTTTCTACAGATAAATTCACTATTGAAATAAATTTTATTGTTGCTTTTATCATGTGCTTGAGTATTATAAAATGAATCTTATTGCTGGCATGAACCAATCTCAAATTAGGGTTCACATGAGGTTAATAGAGAAAATATTTTAATTAAAAAGAATAAGTGACACCTGGAAATAATCATATGTTTTAATTTTAAAAAAAATACCAACTTGTCAATGCCACTTAAGCTTTTTGGGTGAGCTGGTTTAAAGAAGGACCAAAACAGTAGAATCTTTAAATGACAGGATGGAAATATTTTTTTTTAAAATCTCACCCAAATGGCAGGGGCAAAATGACTATTAACCTTTTTTTTAAATTTGGTTATTCTATTTTTTTTTAATTTAACACCTCGAAATTGTATGAAAAGACCAAAATAACCTAACCAAAATTTTTCATAAAGTTTCAAAATTTTCATGACCACACCGAAAATTTAAAATTTATAGCACGATACCAGAAATTTTCAGAGCTTACCGGAAATTTTGCAAAATTGTAAGAAATTTCTTGTATTTTGTCACGAAAATTTATAAATTTCTGATATTTTGTACCGAAAATTTTGAAATTTCCAATTATTTTGTTATATTTTATACCGGAAATTTCAAAATTTCCGATTGTTTAATTTTTGTACCAGAAATTTGGAAATTTCCGATAGTTCATTTATTTATAAAAAAAACCCGAAATTTTTAAATTTCTAATAGTTTATTTTTTTCCTAATTTTTTCCTTCTTTATTCTTTGTTTCATTGAGGACCGGGGCAAAGACGATACCGTTGCAGGCAGGCTGACAGATAGAACAGAAGCTCTACCTCAGGCTGATGAGGCACAAACTTCCGAGCTACGGGAAGGACGACGTGCTATGACCGGCTCGCACCAAAAAATAGTTGGCTGAGCAGCAGGCGCAGTTCCGCGCACCCCGACGGCAGACTGCTAGAGTTTCTACTAACGAGGAGTTATCCCCCCTATGGATGTTGTAACACCCCAAAATTTATAGTTTTTTAATTCATTTGACGTGAATATTTGTGATTATTAGTGAATATGTGAATTCTTGTTGAATTATGTGGTGTGATGATAGTATCTTGTGGCGCAGTGTTAGAGTAAGGAGATAATGAGAATTATTTATAATTTAGATAATTAGTTATAATTATTTAGATTTATTTTGATAATTAAATAGAGGTAATATTTGGTGTAAATAATTTAAGAGCATAGGGGTAAGAGTGACAAAAATGAAAATTGGGGTTTTGTGCGTTCATTTTGTACAATCGTGTTTGGGAATAAGTTGTGGAGAAAGAGTTAGAGCATTGAGGAACCCAGAGGATTTCAATAGAGAACACAAAGAGGAAGGATTCATCTGCTAAGAAATAACCAGGTAAGGGGAGTGATCCATGTTACTATAATTGATATGGAGATTTTGATGTATGTAGGATTAGGTTTGATTTTTTATGATGAATTTGAATTGTGATGAACATATGATGAATCTATGATAGAATTGATGAAATTATGATGTAGTTTTGTAATTCTTTGATGAATATGATGCCTATAACAATGTGTTGTTGTGGTATGATGAAACCATGTTGAATTATATGAAATTTGGACTATACAAGGGCAGGCACAATGCAGATGGTGCACAAGTGTGGCTTAAGGGAATTTAAAATATTTTCCGAGTGGTGGTTTGCATGGAGGATCAGAAGTTGCAGTTTTGCACTCACACATTGGAAGAATAAGTCGGGGACTGGTGGAATAATGCACGCCATAGAATGGATATTTTGGGTATAGAGATTACTTGGGCTATATTCATAACTGCTTTTCTAGGTAAGTACTCTCCTGAAGATATGTATGGTAAGAAGGAGATCAAATTACTTGAGCTGAAGCAAGCGAGTTCGACGGTTGCTAAGTATGCTTCTAGGTTCAAGGAACTAGTGCAATTTTGTCCGCATTATAACAATCCTATAACTGAGGTGTCTAAGTGCATCAATTTTGAGAATAGACTACATCTTGAGATCAAGCAGAGTATTGGGTATCTGGAGATTCGCCAGTTTCCAATGCTGGTGAATGAGTGCAGGATCTATGATCATGATAGTATAGATAAGGCTTCGTATTATAAGAACCTCAGTGATAAGAGATGGAAGAGTCAAGATCATGGAAAACCTTGTGTTGCTCCGGTTGATAAAGGGAAGCATAAAGTTTTTTATGGGAAGAAGATGAGTGGGGGAGGAGCTCCTGCTTCTGGTAAATGTTTTAGGTGTGATGAACAAGGTCATCGTTCTGATGATTGTGAGAACAAGGTCCTGAGATATTTCAAATGTGGTAAGACAAGTCATCATGCTCCTGAGTTCAAGAATGATGGTCCAACTTGTTTCATTTGTGGTGCAGGGTCATATCAGTACCTAGTCTCGGAAGCCAAAGAAGAACGTTACTATTGCTGCCCAGACTAATGGTACTTATTTTATGAAGGACAACTTGATTTGAGGTACTTATTTTATTAACGGTGTTAAGTTGGTTGCTATTATTGATATTGGTGCTACTCATTCATTTATTTCGTTTGAATGAGCTATTATATTGGGATTTAAATTGTCTTCTATAAATGGTAGTGTGGTGATATATACTCCTACTAATGGTTCTATTACTACTACTTTTGGCTGTTTGAGTTATCCTTTGACCATTTACGGTAAGAGTTTCGTGATGAATTTGGTGTGTTTACCCTTGCACTAAATCAATGTTATTCTTATAATGAACTGGTTGGAGTTCAACTATGTTCATATCAATTGCTACAATAAGACTCTAAGATTCCCAGAATTTGGTGAAAGTGGATGTTTTACCCCAAAATTTTCCCTCTCATTTCTCAAGTAATCTCTCACAAGATCTCTTTTGATTCAAGACTGCACAAGGGTTGATCAACTTAAGACACCTCCTCAAGCACTGATGACTGAAAATTAGGGTTTGAGTTTGCACAAGGACAAATGGAATTTTAATTCCCCATATGACTTTCATGGATCATTTTGGACCTCAAGATTGCTCATGTCAAATTGCAAGTCTTGGATCACATTTTTGCTCAGTCAATTGACCAGTTGACCTAAAATCAGTTGTATTGGGGAAAAAGTCAATTGTGGTCAACTTACAGTCAAACTTCAAAATTTCTGGTCCATATCAACATCATGAACTCATATATGTCATTTGATCAAGTTTGGATCACAATTCCTAAAGAAATTTGATCAGATCATTAAAAGGGCAAAATGGTCAAAATTAGGGTTTTGACTAAGAAGGTGCAATTTCTGATTTTTGACCTAGGAAATGATTGATTGTTTTAAGTTATGATCTCAAGGTTTCAAATACTTCATTTTTAACTAATGTAATGGCTTAAAACATCTCTCAAGATCAATTGGTTGACAGATGAATTTCAATCAACTGATGAAAAGTCAATTGTACACTGAAAAGTCAAACTTTAACTTTTTGGTCAAAATCAAGTATCAAAGATCACAATTCATCAAGACATGTCAAAATATGAAACTTGTTCATCAAGAAATCAAAAAGTCAAGATTTCATTTTGAAAAGTCAAAATTTCTAAACTTAGAAATTTTTCTAAGTGTTGGAAATTCACTTTTTTT